AGTTTCAAATTAATAATAATAGACGGAAAATTACGTACTAGATATTAAGGATACAGAACCACTGGACTCCTCCACCTAAACGAATAAATTTATTTATATCAAATGGTCCTTTATCAAATTGAAAAAAGTCGAGAGGGGGAGGGGAACAGAAGAGTGCTTCAAAGATGTAAGAGACAAACTCAAAGGTAGAATAAAGGTGAGGTGCGTACTGTGGAAATAGTCGAATATGGCATAGAGTGAGGTGATGGTAGTTTGAAGTGAGAAGTCAACTGCCAGTTAATAGACTTTTTTGGCGTATGAATATACGTTGCCCAGGGTGCACCACGTGGAGTTAAGTCTATCGCACACCCCAATTAAACGAATAAAAAGATGTGCTCGTCCTTGAATTCTGTTGACGGATCTTTCTTCATTACTCTGATCGACCAAATTTGATGATTTTATCGACGTTGTTTATTGGTGTCCAAAAAGGTGAACTTGTTGTGGTTTTCGACTGCTATGCAAAATTTGTAAAATTTATGAAAGGATTCAGTTCCAATTACACCTTTTGCTTCTAGTTTTAATGGCAATAAAACAAAGTTCAAATATGGCTGAGGTTAGTTAATGCAGATATCCATCGTATTTAACTCCCCATATAATGTTTGCAAATATTTAGCACATTTTCTAGATCAGGAGTTGGAGAACAAGGTCACAACTTCAAGAAAGGTCTTTCTTTGCAGATTATTGATCAATTCTCTTTTGGGAGGTAGGAAAACATGCTCAGACCACAAGAATTTTAGTTAATGTATCCACATCGTAGTTTTATTAGCAGAAAATCACTCCATATGCGCGGAAATTACTCGTATTAAGAATTTACAACAGTCGTCCACGCTCTGTTGGAGTTATGAATTTGAATGGGGAACTTGGCTTGCAATTTTGTTTTTATTGAAGAGAAGGATTTCTTATTTCGTCAACTTTCAGATCGACCAATCATTAACCAGATCGAGCTTAATTTCTGTTTTAAAAAGAAAATTAAACTGCACTAAAGTCTTGTAATATGATTGCATATAATCGTAAAAGACAATGAAAAATATAAATATGCAATGATGGAGATTGGTTAATTCTAGTAAATAGACCATGTTGCTAGGTGACATTTACTTGAGTAAATGTGGGTTTTTGTACGTAGTGTGGGATAGTTGGAACAATTCCCTCTGCTCTTATCAAATCATCTTTCAATGTGAACATGAAGGATTAGGAGGTTCGCTAAATCTCGTACAACTTTTAAGACCACAATTTCTCAGTGTTCATTTGAAAATCGATACTGGTTTAAACGGCCTAATTTTAATGAAAATTGATTAGCAAAGTCTTGCTAAATGGCCAATATCTTCTCTCGTTTCTAGTATTTCTGTGAATTGTAGAAATGAGAGATATTAACTTAGAATGTGCATCAACTAAAATTCCAAATTGTCTTTCTAATTTAGGCTCCATATTTTAAAGTCAACTTTTCTCCCTTTTGATTTTGATATTCCATTATGGGCATCCGAATCTATAGTAAATATTTTGCCCCATATATTTTAGAGGAAAACTCAAAATGCATGCAACATTGCAGATTCATTGCTTGTAAATGCTATGGGAATCTGATGGCTAAAATATTTCCTGAAACATTCGGGTAGACGATTCTGTAAGCATCTTAGTTATTAGTTCTTATAGAAGTCTAAAGCAAATAGCTTTCAATAGTTACATGTGACAATATTATATTCCATTTCAAAAGGTCTTATTAAAATGAGAAAGGTTGAAGAATTGCTATTGTTGAAGGCGAAACGAGAGTTCATTAATGAGAAGATTAAGTCATTAAATTGATCAGAGATCGACGGTAGACAAAACAGCAAACAACTACTTCCAGGTTTAAATAAACCATGATAAATGGTTTTAGGGTTTCAATAAATTGGCCTTTAGCCATTCAATGGGGTAAATGCAAATTGGTGGATAATGAAAATCGAATGACCACAAATGTAAATGCAAATGAATTCATTCCCCCATTGACGGAGTAAACCATGAACCTTGCCAGGTCACTGATCCCTAAAACAATTAAATGAGAGAAATGTTACCTCACCCTCAAACTCGTCCTGACGTAAAAATATGCACAAGTTTGAGTAGTAAATTGAGTGCGCAATCAATTTCCATTTGCTATTTAAAGGTTCCACAAAATGCTCGAGTAAACAATTTAATGGTTCGTATTTTTCATCATATATCATTCCTTTTACTCTAGGGAAAATCCAGCCAACGCATATTTCACCTACAAATCTTAGAACAATAACCCTTATTTATTTATCTGCCTTAAATATTGAGGAGCCAATGCAATAATTTTGAACTTAACTGCTATTGAGAAAATTATTCGAATATTCAGTTTCGATGATGTTCTGATCATTTTAAAGCCGATCGGCCAAGTCAAGATAAAAAGCCTTCACCATAGTAGGACGAAATTGATAGACTAGTATCTGCAATTTTTGTGGTGATGAAGAACACAGAACAACATAGTTCATCATTAAAATGATAAAAGATGCAATTTCTAAATAGCATGAAGGGAATCACTCAAATTGCCTACAAATTGCACATTGCTGGAAATGTTGTTGCTTCCAATTAGTAATACCGTAAACATGTGTTGGACAGTCCATTTGATGGATCATAAACAATTTTAGGGAGGCGGTAGTGAGAAACGCGTACTTATTGCTGAAAGTACCAGCTATATTAAAGCAGTTCTTGAATTTAATGAAAATATTACGCACCTGGATGTTTCCTTATAACTGCCCACAGCAAAGAAGAGGAGAATAGAATTTATAATTGCAGATAATCCACTGCAATCGATTGACAATAATTGCAGTTAAAGTGAGTTGGTGGGGGGGGGGGGTTCGAGATGGGAACAAATGGACGTTGAAAGGGAAGTCAAGGCAGCAGACACTCCAATTTCATTTAACTTCTGAATATTTTTCGATCTTATTTAGAAGTTAAAAGTTAAAGTCGGAAATGCATTAATTATGCTTTGAATTTTTGGAAAAATTCTTGAACGTAATAACTAGTGCTTATTGAAAGATTTTCAATTATAATGATCTACCATGCAACTTCACCTCCCATTGTCTACGTAATGCTGAGCATGATATTTTATAATTTTAAAGAATTGGCAAAATCGTGACATAACAAAGTTGGGATTGTCGACATTTCAATTTAGTAGAAATGAGGTAAATATTACTGCCACTGTCCGAATGCATTAATCAAGCACAGATGACACCCCGACACAGAATTCCAATTGTCAATGTTGAATGTGGATCAGAAAAAATTAAGAGGCTTATGAGTTACGATTTGAACCAATAGCAAGTGTTAGTAAGCGCTGGTGTATTAAGCATGTTGAAAGAGACAATCACGTGACAGTTTGACTTGCAAGAGATATTTGCTAAGAGTAAGTTTGATCTTGAAGGCAGTTTGGTGAGAATTTTAGCTCATATCTGTTTTCAAGCAAATTAAATTTTTCTTTCGCTTGCATTTTATCGAAACAGTAATGTCAAAAGCTATCAAAGTTGAAAGAAAAGGTAATTGACTATTCTTCGGGGCCTTTTTTACCACAAAATAAGAAGTTGATTCGCAGTCCGAAGCAGAAGATTTTACTGCTGAATACCATATTCATAGTCGCTAAATACAATCTTGATAATATTTTGCTAGAAATATGACTTAACTAAGAGTTTAAATGACGTAGAGTGTTGTCCTTATTAACTGGACTGAAGTAATTGAATTCACTTTACCATAGCGGACATGATTTATTGTTATTGGAAGGAAAATTTGCATCTACTGAAGGATGCTTGTTGATTTACCATTCTTACAACTAATCACCGTAGATTTAAAAGTATCGAGAAATAAGCAGCTTCGTGGGCGAAGTATGCTCTATTTAAACGGAACGCGGCTCATTGTTGAGTTTTCGCCATGTTTTAAGATTGGTGAAGGCAATCTGAAGGAAGGAGAAATTGTTTTTAAGCTTAGTTACATTTGATATTCGTAAAGAATGCGTTTGAGTAATTTGAAGTTCTCCACATTTCTATTAAAATTAAGATCTCCATTAATAAAAGTATAATATTATGATCTAATATACCTCGTTCAAGTAATTTTTTCACAAGACAAGCTTCTATTTATTTCAAATTTAAGGTTAGTCTAAAGTCATGCTTAGATCGTTATTACTAAAACAGGAATGTATTACAGTTATAATGAACATCCTTTCATTAGAAATAGAAATAGTGTTTGACTAACCAGATAGACACAAGTAAGTAGACAGCAAAATGCCTGGCGTTGTTTTTAAACAAACTTTTCATTTTGCTCAGTGTATTCAGGTGATTACATCAAAATTATTAAAACTAGGGTATGCATTATTCTAATCCAAACTCTCTCAACAGAAAGAATCATATTATTAGTATAAACCATTTATTGAAGTAAATAATTTTAAGTCAGCGAGTATTTTTTCAAATAAATATTTATAAAAATAAATGGTGTATTTTATCAAATTTGCTTAATGTGTTGCTTTGTTTCCCATTGATTTGTCTAAATCTAATTATATTTTCATTAAACCATACAAAGGCCTTAAAGATTCAATGTATTTTTTTGATAAAGCAAATTGAGAGCAAATTGTGTGCAGTTAATATCCTTTTCCACACAACCGCCAACAATTACTGCATTTTTGACAGCCAATCACAAGGGCTCATTTTCTCATTGATCAGCGAATGACCTTAAAATTAAGTGTCTGATTGGTTGCCTACTGGTTTTGATTGTACCCTATTGGTTATGAGTTAGACGTTTTTCTGTTGAATAGTTTTCATAAGGATATCGTTATACAGATATGAATATCACTACAGAAGAAAATGAAGTGCCCAAGGTTGCTTTGGCGTCATGGAAATTGGAGGAAGTGGCTGTATACCTCGGTATCACAGTTTTTATTCTGTTTATACTACTCGTGAAATATCTATACCACAAGCTCAAATGGATTGCCTCGTATATACCTGAATCCCTTATCCTCATTGTGATTGGATTGGTCTTTGGAGCAATTGTCTGGTATGTCCCATCGGTTGCCCCTGGTTTAAAAAATATTCGGCTTACACCAAATCTATTTTTTAATATACTCCTGCCTCCTATTGTTCTTGAATCGGCCTATAGTCTCTTCAATAGAACATTTGCCGATTTTTTCGTCCCAATAATGCTATTTGCTGTCATTGGAACGGTTCTTAATTTCCTCTTCATTGGGTTCGGGATGTGGGGAATCGACAGACTTATCGGTCTTGGAAATCCCTTAATTGATCTTGCCATGAAAGATTACCTTCTCTTTGCGTCTCTTATTGTTGCTGTTGATCCTGTAGCTGTATTGGCAATCTTTCAGGACATTGGTGTTGATGCTGGTCTCTATTATATGGTGTTTGGGGAATCTCTTCTAAATGATGCCGTAACTGTCGTGCTATACAATATTATGAATATCTTCGTTGCAACCGAGCATATATCTACTGGTGATATTCTCATCGGTGTCGGTTCATTTTTCACTGTATCTCTTGGGGGTGCTTTGATAGGTCTTTGTCTAGGAATCCTTTCCTGTCTAATTACAAAGCTAAAAGCCCTATCCGGTGCTTTGCCTTTGTTTCTAATGAGCTACATTTCCTATATGGTTGGAGATTTGTTTGGTTGGTCGGGAATTATCGCTATAATAGTTTGTGGTGTCTTTCAGGCTGCATATGCTTTTCATAACGTCGCTTACCTAAATATTGTAATGTTACGAGCCGGTGTTGGGCAGTTAGCTTCTATCTGCGAAGCAGTTATCTTTCTAATGCTTGGTTTGGAGATCATGGCCACAAGCCTCATCTGGCATGCTGGCTTCATAATAACCGCCATTGTCATGTGTCTAATTGCCAGAACTCTCATTACATTTGTGCTCTCTGCTATAATCAACCACCATCGACCATCACACTCGAAAATTCACTGGTCAGAGCAAGTGATAATTAGTTATGGAGGTTTACGAGGTGCCGTTGCCTTCTCACTAGCTGTTCTCATCAACGAGCATTTTCATGGTGAACATGACAACACAGCCAGAAATATTCTAATTACAACAACTCTAATGGTCATCCTCTTCACGGTGGCATTCATGGGAGTAACAATGAAACCCTTGGTTCGACTTCTGCATATTCGTCTTGCTAAAAATGTCGAAAATAAACTTTTCACAACACTTAATAACTCTATCATTAACCAAGCTCTGCTATACATGGAGACTTTAATTGGAGAACAGGGTTCAAATCATTTGCGTGAAATAATGTACCGCCTGGATGATAAATATATTCGGCCGTTCCTTCAAAAGAACGCTATGAGTCATAGTCAGAAGATTGTGAATGTTTATGAGAAATATGCGTTGCAGTTTCATACTGAAGCTATTGAAAGTCGTAGAACGTTGGATGATGGAGACATGAAGGCAGGAGATCTACAATCTTCTGGCAATGTCAAAGCAGAACCGGGGCCTTCTTTGCCCAATCGAAAATTGAGAAAACTAGCTACATTCAGTCCTCTAGATGAGGTTGAAGAGGACGACATTTTTGAAACTTCAGTGCCACTAAACATGCCCAAGCAAGTTAGACGCAGAGTTAACGTAGCTAGCATGTATCAAGGCGAAGAGTCTGAAATATACCTCCCTCACCGGAACATATTTCACGAGGCCAACGATGCTCACTTTGCACAGTTTAGTCGTAACCAGCATCGTCTTTTGGAATTACTAGACGATCATATTAACGTAATGTCAAAAGACAGATTACAAAAGGCTCGTGCAATGAGTATTGATTCAGCCATGGGATCCCCAAGGATAGACAAAAGACGGCATAGGAAGAAATTCTCTAGATCTCACACTGAAGTTGTTGGATATCCAAGTCAAACATTAACCCCACCTTCTTCGCCCGGTGATGGAGAAGAACTTTTAATCCGCCAGAACCCTACCGGTAAACACCACTATCCTCGTGTTCCTCGAAGTACAAAGTTCTTTCCACACCAGACAAATGTATGAAACGATAATTAATCCAATTTTATGTATGTTTTTTTGCTCAGACTATAGTTTATTTATAAACAGTGCCTATCACTAATGAAATGACTCATTTTGTCTATGCTGGCAAATGCAAATTTATAGGAAAATCACTAAGTTCACTTAGAATCCGCTTTTAAAGGCAGTATGGTGTCCGATTGGCCAGATTAATACACGGCGTTACAATGGCTGGGCGAAGGAAGTTTATTCCGTTGTGAAAGGGAACGGGGCTAATGATGAAGGTGTTAAGTAAAGATGACTTTCAAAGTTAAAATTTCGGAGAGAATTGCACCATCAGCTCAGAGAGAAAGAGAAGAACTCAATGCTCAGAGAAAAGGAGAATTAGGTTAGATTATACTCGGTCTATATTTTCAGCTTTGTAATGAGGTTAAGTTGAATAATTTTCAACTGTGCAATGGTCTCTGAAATTTCCATCTTTCCCATGGAATGGCCATTTCCACATGGTTTCAGGCTTAACTGACGATTTTTATAAGATTGGTACATCTTTGCCCGTTAATTAAATAGACTATCTCGAAAATTCTTTTTGTGATATGATGAAGGGTTTGCAATTCATGCCTCTAATTTTGTGAATAAGATTTCTGTCTACCTCTTACTCTCTGGTCATTTCCAAGTCGATCATATTCAGTCTAATCTACTTCAAAAATATTCTTACCTTACGACTGGGCTATTGTTTTTAATTTTACTTAGTGGAAGATGTGAGCTCCATCCTTTGAGTATATTTATTTAGCTTCCGTGGTCAAGTGCGTCAAAGCTTGCCTAAAATATATTAATTTCATCGAGTAATGTTCCAACTTCAAAATAATTTATTATTAATTAAAATCTTTCGCTGAGTCATATCTTCATCTAAGAGCGACGCCAAAAGTAGCACGTTTTTACTAGGCCTAGTTGGGACGGGGAGTACACTTTGATGAAAACATTTGTTCCATGAATATCTCAGCAACTGCACCTCAACTACTTCACCAATTTTATGCATCCTAAACTCCCTAAAGGTAACGGAAGAGAGACTCTATAAGCAAGGAGACTATTTTGTTTTATTTCTGTCATAGTAAATCGGGCAACATTTACTACTAGGGGAAAGGTGTATTAAAACACCAAAACGTTATTTGCTATCTACGGAAGAAAATTCCGGACTACAGATCATTAGAAGGATAAAAAAGATGCGTTCTACGAGTTATTTATTTCCCATTTAACTATATCTAAGCTCTATACCTATTTTTAACTAATTTCATCCCGATTTCCAACAGTTTTTTTCATTTGTTAATCTGATAATTCATTTGATAATTCAAATCGTGTAATTTTGACGTTACAGGTTAGAATATTAACATGCACGTGTGTTAAAAGAAGTGTAAAGCGGTAACGTGTTTTGGGTATTCATAATAAAGATAACGAGGTTCTACTTATCGAACACCTGCTTTTCATATTTATAAAAGATAAAATAAAAACAAAATACATCATCGCCATGAACATCAATGATAAATGAAAAAATCTCGTTTTTGAGTTGTAATGTTTGCGTCAATTCGCATTATTCCACACACTTTCAAAATAAGTTGAAAAATATTAACCCAAATGCTAAAGAAGAAACATACTCACAAGTTAAAACGCTAATTTTTTTAAAATTTTGATTCGCCTTTTTAGCCACAGAAGTTAGCAACTTTTCTTATTTGAGGAAATTGCAAACAATTCATATTAATTTTGATGTCTTAGAAATTGATTGAAATAGGGAATTCTTTGAAGTTCACAACGCTGTCATCGATGAACACAGAAATGTCACTAAGGCAGTCTCAACAATGCGACATGCCACTTGTCGCGTAAGGAGAAAATGCAATTTTGAGTACAGAGACTCCTCATCCAGCCACGAGTCAATAGTTGCTGCATGGCCAGTGTAGCCAAAATTGTATTTAACGAATAACCTTCTCGTCAGACATATGCCCCAGATAAATGGGCTAAATACTATACGTCTTCTTCCTTTATATTACGGAAGGGATCTTTCCATTGAGATTACTGAGCATACTCTAAGGCTTATTCGTACAGAAATCCGCTCCTATAGGAAATAAAACGTAAGCTTTCTATGAAATTTACCACATTATAGCCATTCCCCAATTCGTCGAATGTAATTTAAAACATAAAATTGAGAATTGCATAATACCTATAATTAGACAATGGAGATTGTAATATATTTAAAGGAATTTCCTAATATTTATTTATTTATTTCAAATGGTAGGCGTCTTGGTAGTTATCATTAGCCAACTTCGCTTCACAGAGAGGAGGAGGAACATCAAAGTGACAAAAAGACGAGAGAGAGGGGGGGGGAGAACAGAAGTGTTTCAAAAACGTAAGAGACAGACAGATTGACAAAAAGGCAGGGAAAAGGTAAGATGAGTACTGTGAAACGGGACGAATATGGGAAAAAAGGTGAGATGAGTACTATGGAAGTAGTCGAATATGACGTAGAGTGAGGTGATGGTAGTTTGAAGTGAGAAGTCAACTGCCTTAGTCGAATATGACATACAGTGGGGTCAGAGTCAACTGAAGGTAGAAAAAAGGCGAGGTGAGTACTGTGGAAGTGGTGAAATATGACATACAGTGGGGTGATGGTAGTTTGAAGTCAGAGGTATATGACATACAGTGGGGTGATGGTAGTTTGAAGTGAGAAATAGGTAGAAAAAAGGTGAGGTTAGTACTGTGGAAGAAGTCGACAGTAGAGCAAAGGTGAGGTGAGTACTGTGGAAGGGGTCGAATTTGACATACAGTGGGGTGATGGTAGTTTGAAGTGAGAAGTCGAAGAGAAAAGGTAAGATGAGTACTGTTGAAGTGGTCGAATTTAAGAAAAAAGGTGAGGTGAGTACTGTGAAATGGTCGAATATGGACAAAGGTGAGGTGAGTACTGTAAAAATAGTCGAATATGATATAGAGTGGGGTGATGGTAGTTTGAAGTCAGAAGTCAACTGCCGATCAATAGACTTTTTGCAAGTCAGAAGTCAACTGCCGATCAATAGACTTTTTTGTCTTTGAAGTCAGAAGTCAACTACCGTACAGTGGGGTCATGGTAGTTTGAAGTGAGAAGTCAACTGTAGGTGAGGTGAGTACTGTGGAAGTAGTCGAATATGACACAGTAAGGTAAGATGATTACTGTGAAAGGGGTCGAATATGACATAAGTGAGGTGATGGTAGTTTGAAGTGAGAAGTCAACTGCCTTAGTCGAATATGACATACAGTGGGGTCAGAGTCAACTGAAGGTAGAAAAAAGGCGAGGTGAGTACTGTGGAAGTGGTGAAATATGACATACAGTGGGGTGATGGTAGTTTGAAGTCAGAGGTATATGACATACAGTGGGGTGATGGTAGTTTGAAGTGAGAAATAGGTAGAAAAAAGGTGAGGTTAGTACTGTGGAAGAAGTCGACAGTAGAGCAAAGGTGAGGTGAGTACTGTGGAAGGGGTCGAATTTGACATACAGTGGGGTGATGGTAGTTTGAAGTGAGAAGTCGAAGAGAAAAGGTAAGATGAGTACTGTTGAAGTGGTCGAATTTACGAATATGGCATAGAGTGGGATGATGGTAGTTTGAAGTCAAGTAGTCGAATTTGACATACAGTGGGGTGATTGTAGTTTGAAGTCATGTCAACTGCCAGTTAATAGACTTTTTTGTCGTATGAGACCAGGGTGCACAACGTGGAGGTAAGTCTATCGCACACCCCGAATTTCCTAATATAAAAACAAAGTGAAATTATCTGAACTTAAAAGGCTTTTTAATTAATTTTAGTATAAACTTGGGTCTTAGAGCAAAGCGAAGATTGAGGAGAAAGATTCAAACGCTTCAGATTGAATTTAGACGCTTTATAGCACGGTATCAAATTCTTATGCGAACCATTTCGGCAATAGTGGAGTTCGCGTATTGCCAGATTACTCCTTGAATACTCTTTGATTTGACAAGCAGAAAAGTTACAAAGACTGTAATGACTTATTGCTGTTAATCAACAACATTTTGCTAGGGAATTAATTCATTTACATGCAATATACGGTCAATATATTTAAAGAAGTAATTTAAGGAAAACTATAACCAATAAACTAGAAAATGAATGTATTTCGAGTAGCGTGATCAATCAGGGAAATTGTTTAGTACTAACAATTCTTTCTATAATTAGATATTCGCTTAAGCAGTGAATTCACCGTATTTATCCGTTGAATATGCTTCTCTGACCCAAACGAAACCCAAAGTTCACTTGAAGACGGTGTTTATTTAATGTAATGGAGTGATTTTAATACATGTTACAAATTGATGTTTATATCATAAGTGTTTTACAACGGCGAATTTTTGTGCCTTGATCAGAAGAGATTGCATTACTGAACAAAATTTAAGGCCACAAACATGTTGTGAATGATGAAATAAAAGAAAAAGAAAGATTAAAGGAGTATTGGTGTATTTTTCCAAAAATGAGACAACCTTAGGGAGAAATTTCAAAGCAAATTGGATGAATTTGGCACAAACCCTATAACTTTCCAACTAGCGTCCTGTTTGTGTGGTGATAATTAAGTGTGAAAGATACTTAAGGATTGGAGGAAGTAACTTTTTTGAAATGGAAATATTGCTTGAAAAGGGATAACATAACCAGCTGAATATATTCTTGTGTGCTAATTTGGAAAGTTTGCAGTGCTATCAGATATTAGAAAGGATTGGAGTAAATAAAAGAGCCATTTAACGAGCAATTACAATTTGACATATGTATAAGCAACGGTGAGGAATTATGAAATTCAATTAGTTTCTACTTCTTCATTTTACTACTTAAAAATGATAAGTATAGTTTCTATGACGATTGACTTTGTGATGCAACGCGTTGAGGGAAATAAATGCTAAATTCTTAACCTTTGTGAATCCCCCTTGCATTCAAACGGAATCATTGAAGTTAGCCCGGAAATTTGATTTTAATTATTTCCCTTATTAGCAAAATTAAACACTCACTTTCGAAAG